AGACAGCAGAGCCCAGAAAGGAGCCCTCTAGGGCATAAATCCCTATGGTGGAGAGTGCCTGGCTAGCAACGGGTGCTCTGAACTGAAGATAGAGAATGTCTGGAAGTGTCGCATATTTACCTGTTTTTAAAACAGCGATTTATGGACACTTTCAGTACAACCAAGATCAGGCCATTATAAGCTTGTTTAAGCTTACGCTTTAATTACACATTAATATTGTCGAGAGGGGGAATACGCATTAGATCCAATCTAATAACATACGGTGACAATCTATCATAAAAAACTGCGCTATTAGCAGCATTGAATGACATGTATTGCACGGTTCACAACATGCAACTTGCTATTTGCAGTTGTTTAGATTCACAAGAAAGCATAAAATTAGTCAAACAAAAATGTTAGGAAATTTAGACTCATTTTAAATATTCTAGTATCGCTCAGAAACAACTGCAAGCAATTCAAGACAGACTAAATCAACCTCATCTCAAGTGTTTCAAGATTGTACAATGCGATGAGTACAGTACATTTTACAGGTTCGGAAGTTTTTTTAAAGGTAAAGAATGTCTCAAGGCTTGATATTAATGACAGAGAAGTTAAGTCTATTTTACGTTGAAAGTTGTATAGAGTTCTTGAAACCTTTTGAACAGCCAAAGCGGAAACTCAGTAGTTCTCATTCCCTTATTTTCCCCGTAACTCCAATAATTGAAATGCTTGACAAAAAAGTTGATAACTATTTAACAAGATCAGAAGACTGTGATCTAATTCGACAGGTCGCATTACTCTGAAAACTGAACTATCAACAACGTTTTCACACAGTAGAGAATAATTTATATGTCATCGCTACCTACTAACTGAGGGAAATATTAAAGAAGACCTTTTGGTGATGAGCATGAGCAAAACCGAGTATGATGTTTCCCTTTCTCTTAATTCTTAAGGGGTTAAAATGATGCAGAACAACTATGACCAGGGCCGTCAGGTTTGATCAGAAAACCCTGCTTAAAGGACGATCTTGTTATGATGTCGGATTCGTCGAGTGAAGATGAGAGTGAAAAACCTTCTTAGCGCGTTATATATATATATATATATATATATATATTATATATTATATATATATATATATATATATATATATATATAGGTTCTTGAACTCCTAAGTGGAGCATAGAGCTTCAGTGAAAACGCGCCATCGGGATCTATTTTGCGCTAAGGCCTTCACCTCATTCCAAGACTTTCCTTGTTTTCTTATCTCGTCCATGATGGATCTTCTCCAAGTTTGTACTGGGCGGCCTTTTTTTCGTTTCCTTGGGGATTCCACTCTAGGGCAGTCTTTGCACTACTGGAGTTATTTTTTCGGAGTGTGTGACCGATCCAACCCCACTTTCTGGACTTTATTTCATTTACTACCCTCTTTTGTTTGGTCAGGTGTAGTAAATCTTGGTTTCTGATAATGTTAGGCCAGAAAATACGAACAATTCTTCGTAGACATTTATTAACAAAGACCTGCAGTTTGTCTGTAAGGGTTTTTGTCGCTTTCCAGGTTTCACATCCGTAAAGTAGTACAGACATGACATTTGACTGGAATATGCGGATCTTTGTCCTTGTAGTGTAGTCTCTAGACCTCCAAACAGGGTTGAGCATGCTGAAAGCTTGTTGCGCTTTTCGTATCCTCATACGAATATCGTCTTCTGTACCTCCGCTTTCTGTTATGACACTTCCAAGATACGTAAAGTTTTCCACATTTTCAATCTGCATGTTATTAATGGTGAATAGCGTGTTGTTTCTTGCATTTATTCTCATGGACTTGGTTTTACCAATATTGATTTTCAAACCTATTTTATTGGCTTTAGTGGAGAGTGTTTCCAAATGGTCAGCCACATCTTGGAACCTTTGTCCTAACAGGCAGATATCGTCGGCGTATTTTAGATCGCTTAGGCGTGTGGTTAACGTCCATTGTATCCCTCTTGTGTCAGAGTCTAGTTTGGAGAGAGCATAGTCTAGAGCTCTGTTAAAAAGAAACGGAGAAAGCACGCATCCCTGTCTGACTCCAGTAAGTACGTCAAATTCGTCACTGTTGATCCCATTGTGTGTCACGCTGCATTTCGCTTCAGTGTACAGTAACTTTATAATGGAAATTATTTTATGCGGGATGTTTCTTAGCTCTAAAATTTTCCATATCGTATCATGAGATAAGCTGTCAAAAGCACGCTCGAAATCAACAAAAACCATGTATAGGGGTGTGTTCCATTCAACCGATTGTTCCATTATTAGCCTCACAGTATTAATGTGGTCTATGCAGGAGGATTCTGGTCTAAAGCCTACTTGATTAGCTCGAAATTCAACCTTGTTTGTTAATCTTTTAAGTATGATGGTCGTGAAGATTTTATTTATGGCGGTAAGCAAGGTTATTCCTCTCCAATTTTTGCATAGTGTGAGGTTGCCCTTTTTTGGAAGCTTAATAATGATGCCTTTTTTCCAGCCCGCTGGAATGCGGTTTGTTTCCCACACCTCTCGGATTATGGGGAGCAAAAGTTCAGCAGTTAGATGCGGATCAGTTTTAAATATTTCGGCAGCAATGTTATCGATTCCGGAGACTTGTTATTTTTCAGAGATTTGATAGCTGTTATTATCTCTGTTTTTGGAAGGGGCGTCGCAAGATATACGCAAGTCTATATTTTGTGGATTTTCGACAATTTCATCTGCGTTATCCCTGGGCGTGCCTAGCATCTCCTGAAAGTGCTCTTTCCATCTCTCTATTTGGTCATTTGTTGTAGTAAGTAATTCTGCTGTCTTGGATCTTACGACGTTTGAACAGTTGGGCCCACTTTTTGTTAGACGTCTAGTAATTTGGTATAGCTCTCTAGTTTTATTGTGTTGTGCAGCTATTTCGGCTTGTTTTTGCCAGTTCTTCAGCCCATCTTCTTTTGTCTCTTCTTGCATTTCTTTTAACTGCTTTATTTATTGTTTCATATTCTGGTTGTCGGTTCGCTCTTTCTTTCTACAGTTCTTGCTTGCAAAATATCTTTTTTTTGCTGTTTTCTTTCTTCGATAAGATTCCAAGTTTCATCTGATATCCATTCTTTTCTATGTTTCTCTTTTTTACCCAGTTTATCTTCAGCTATTTCTGTCAAAACATTTGCCAGATCTTCCCAGCTATTTACTTCACGTTCTCTTCTTTTGAGTTGAAGTTCCTCCCTAAACATGTGTCTTCCTGTAGCCGTTTTTAATTTGTCTAGATTGTATGTTGGTCGTTTGGTGTTTCGTGTGATTTTGTTTTTTGCCATTTTGATTTTAATGGTACCGATAACAAGATGATGGTCACTTGCGATGTCTGCTCCTCTTTTGTTACGTACATCAAGAAGAGATGATCTCCATCTTTTTGATATGGCGATGTGGTCTATTTGATTTTCTCTTATATGACCTGGTGCAGTCCATGTAACCTTGTGAATATTTTAATGTGGGAAGATGGTTCCACCAATAACTAAGCTATGATTGGAGCAAAAATTTGTAAAGCGCTCTCCGTTTTCATTCATCACTCCCAGGCCATGTTTGCCCATTACAGTTTCTAAGTGTCTTCTCCAACTTTAATATTGTCTTCTCCAACTTTAGCGTTCATATCGCCCATCACTATTAGTATATCGCCTTGGTTTACTTGTTGGGTCGTTTGTTCTAGTTGTTCGTAGAATATGTCTTTATCTTCGTGGAGAGATGTGTTCGTGGGAGCATAGCACTGAATCACTGTTATCTTGCGGTATCTGGTATAAAATCTGGCAATCATAATTCTATCATTGATTGGTTTCCATGAAATGAGGCTTTTTTTTGGCTTGTTTGCTGAGTAGAAGACCCACTCCGCTCTCGTGATTTCCATTTTCTTTACCACTGTATAATAGGAGTTCTCCTGTTTGGGTATGGTGTTCACCATTTTCCAACCATCTTACTTCCGATAGACCAACAAAGCTTAATTAAACAGGTATAACAGCTTATACCTGTTTAATTCTTTTACTGCTTGAGCTAGTTTAAAAAACTCATACAGAGTTTTAACATTCCAGCAACCAAATCGTGTCCGTATTTTCGGTGATGCCAAGGTCGTCAACATTTGATCCGTCCGGTTTGTTTCTACCAAAGTTTCAGTAATATGATAAAATTTAAGATGGGTAGGTTATTGGCCTTCCGCACCCGAGTCTGGTGCCGGGGCTGCCGACTGTAGCGTCCAGACAAGCCTCAGGGGGTAGTGTGTCCTGGAGGTGGCAACGACATTTCCTTCGTGCGAGATGTTAAGGTTATACCGCCTATACTCGGTCAGAGAAGAATATGAAGTAAAAGAAATATAGTGACCCGTCTGCTTTCGGAAACCTAATCGCCATTCGGGGGTCGGAAGAAACAAGAGTTAGCCAAGAGAGGCTGATAGAAAAGATTAAAGACATTTCACTCAAGACAAGTTGAAGAAGAGTAAAATGTGAAGGCCCTTATGATCCGCCAGGTGCGTTTCATAAGAGTATGAGTATTGATGCACTTTGTGTTCCCGCTCATTACTTCGGGGTGTTGACTACAGACTGTATGGCTCGTCCAGCATGCCATAACATGAAGGATAGGGTACACGTCATTTTACATTGCAGGCACCCTAAACTCCATGGCCTGACCGCAAACAATTTTTCAGTAGTCCGGGTTTAATTTACGAATCTCTGCGTTACATTGTCCTGAGAAGGCGGCAATATTTTTATGAAAAATAATGCTCCAATTGTTAAATTTTCACTACTAGGTAATTAGATAGGTAATAAAATTATTAAATAAATCCTATATTTGCTATTTTACTTCTGCACACAAATAGTTTCTTGTAAAAAGGTTCGAAATCCGCATCCGCGGATGTGCAGCGCCAACATCAATAGTGACTACGCTTTTACTACAGCGTGAAATATGGCAAATACATTTAAAGTTTTATTTTTTATTATGCAGTATTGTTGTATTAAGTTTGTGTACATATTTTAATTCAATTTTGTTGTTTTCAGTATGTCAACATACTCTTAGTACAATAAGTGTATCAACCCATGATGCAAGGATAAAACTACATGATACGTTTTTAATTGAGATTACAGTACCGTAAGTATCAGTTAATTAATAATAATGTAACCCAAATCAACTACACTCATGGACAAAAATATCGAATATTTTGGAATTTTCTAATTTTTATTTTTTCAAAATAAATTCTGGCCAATCAAGTCGTTTATTGTGAAGTAGTTTATTTTAACAAAGTTTAATGAACACTTTTAAGTTTTTATGCGGAGAAAATTGCGAAAAAAATAAATGCTTAATATTGGGTAAATAAAGTTATTTTACTTTAAACTTAAATGATTTTTTTTTAATTAATGTGTCTCGGCTGCAATGGCCATTGACACAAACAATATTGTGTACAATAATTACAATAAGCACATGACAGCACCTGTTACTAATTGCTACAGTTAATCTATAAGCTTAGAACCTATGACTAAAAATAATACAATAGTTCACTAAGTTATATATAAGTTAAAGGTAAAGTACACGGAAAACAATGGGTCATATTCTGACAGGAACAACAGAATATCTTTCAAGAAATCATTTAGGTTAAAGACTTGATCGGGCGAATTTAAAACGTCTTTGATATTTGGCTTAAGTTTATGTTGCACTCTCTGTTTTACGTACCGGGGACACTCGATCAGGATATGTTTCACACTTAATACACTTGAGCTGATTTGGCAATTGGGCCTTCGACTCGGATTTAATTAAATATTCATGTGTGAATCGGGTATGTCCTATTCTTAATCTTCGGATGACAGCTTTTTCGTTTCTAGACTTTTTGAAAGTTCAAATTTTTCAACAGTCTGCCGGATCTCATGTAATGCACTCTTGATTGTGTTCCAGTGGGTTTACCAGATATGATACTGTTGTTGCTTGAAAATTTGCTTTAGGTCATTACGGATTTGAATATGTTGAGCTTTTAAGGATTGACTGTTTACACAAGAAGCTTGCTTGGCTGCTTGGTCTGCTTTTTCATTACCGGGGATGCCGACATGGGATGGTAGCCAGATGATCGTGACATCTACACATTGAAAAGCGAGTGCACTGTGTGTCCTATGGATTTCTTGAACTAAGGGATGCTGAGAATATAGACTTTTAATCGATTGTAGTGACGACAGGGAGTCTGTGCACATTGCTTGGTTTTTATGATCTGTTTTAAGTTTTTTAAAAGCCTCTAGTATCGTATAAAGTTCTCCAGTGTATAAGCTGCATAAACTCAGTAAAAAAGATGATTTTATTACTTCTATATGTGTGGTAACGGCACATCCAACGCCTGCTTCGCTTTTGGAGACATCTGTATACAGAATTGTTTGGAATTGGTTCTTCCTTATGTTTTCTTTGAAGTGTTGCCTTATGAGAAGGTTTGAGGTTTCATGTTTACTGTATTCTAATAGAGAAGTGATTGAATGTGGGATTGGTCTATTCCAAGCGGGAGTATCTGGGATTGGGAAGGGATGTGTTTTAGTAAGGTCGATGGTGATTCTTAGAGTTAATTTCTGGATGTCTATTATTGATTGGATCCTTTGCGGGGTCTCCGGAGGCGATGTTAAAATAATTAAATGCTAATTTAAATTGCTTAAACAAGGGTTTTTAACTAAAGAAATGCATGATCAGTAACAAGTATTCTCCCATCTAGCTCTTATTACTGCCTGCATCATTCTCGGTATGCTTGCAAGTAAATTTTGGACGTATCCTTGGGAAATTGCATTCCATTTATCCTGTGCAGCAAGCCGAAGCTACTCTATCGTATTTGGAATGGGATTTTTTTTGTCGTATGCGGCGTTTTAAGTGATCCCACATGTGCTTTATTGGATTTCAATCAGGGCTAAATGGTGGCCAATCCAATCTTCGAATTTGAACCTCATCAAGATAATTGCTCACTATGGCAGCGGCATGTGGTCGTGCATTAACATGAATTTTTCATATCCAATGTTACCAACATATGACAAAACATGATCTTGCAGGATGTTTTAAACGTAAGAGTCACCAGTATCCATCCAATCACATCCACCAAGTGCGGTGCGTACCTCTAAAAATAAACTTTTCAAAGAATTATGCCCCCCACCTCCAAAACTATGGAGATTGCAGCTGGCGAATCGTTCTCCAACTCTTGGTAGACGTGGTTTTGACCATCTAGCTTCCATATTAGGATTCTGGACTCATCAGTGAAAAGAATATTTTTCCAGTTGTCGATATTTTACTGAACATGTGTTATTAAACGTTAAAGTACGTTTATTGACGTTTCAATTTCCACTTCGGAAATCGTTACTTGGTAAAATACGTCAATAAACGTACTTTAACCTTTAATTATGGCTTATTCCCATTAAATAGTAATTAATGAATATGTGTTGTTGCAAATTCTAATCGCCGAGCTTTATGATTTTGAAGAAGACGTGGAACTTGGGCAGGGCGGTCTGCGCTTTAAGTTTGCTTCTTTTAATCTTCGTCTAACTGTTTCTGAACTTACATTAACTTGTCTAACATTTAATAGATTATTTCTGAGGTACATCGATGTCATTGGACGATTTAGTGTAGAAATAAGAACCAAAAACGGTCATCAAGTGCAACTTGGGCGTCCTTGAGCGGGTCTTCGTACGAAATTTCCTGTTTCGCGGTACCTTTTTAAAGTACTTGAAACTAGATTGACTTCTCCTGAGACGTCGTGCGATATCTTTTTGTGCATAATTATCCTTCCTCGTACAAAATGACCATCTGTGCTACTTGGGCTTCATCGCAGTGTCCAATTGGTGGCACACTTGTTTAAATTTGCGTGAATTTTCTAGAGATTCAAGCACTGCCCATAATTTGATGGAATCGAATGCTTTATGGAAATCGACGAACGCCATATGAATTGGAACATTATACTCGGTGCATTTCTCTGTCAGTGTTCTTACGGTGTGCAAGTGGTCCATGGTATTAAAATGTTTTTCTGAATCCAGCCTGCTCGATAGGTTGATAGAAATCGAGCTTATGTGTTAGGCGGTTGGTTATGATTTTAGTTAATATTTTATACAGTTGTGATAGCAATGATATTAGTAGGTAATTCTCAATGTTTGCTTTGTCTCCTTTCTTGAATAGTAAAATGACTTCGGAGTTGTACCATTCTTGAGAAATCTTTCCTTCATCGATTACTTTATGAAATAAAATATTTAATACCTGTTTCATTTTTCTCCCACCAATTTACAACATTTCAACTATAATCTTATCCTCTCCCGGACATCTATTCGTTTTTAGTTGATTTAGGGCCATTCTTATTTCATAGTCGGTTATGTCCGGTATTTCTTCTGAGCCGGTGTGTAATTATTGTTCGTTCAGTACGTCGTTGTTGTGGTTGTGTACTTACCGAGTATAATTTAGTGTAGAATTTTTCAATGGCCTCGCTTATTTCCTTTCTGTCTCGGACGATGACGTTTTTCTCATTTTCTATTTCTATTATTTTTGTTGTGACGCTTGAGTTTTCTGCTTTGAGTACTTTCCTGTTGCAGTTATCTTCTATTATATATTTTTTTACATAATATAATATAATACAAAATCAAATATAATACAAAACTATATTAGGGAAGATAAAGTGTATATTAATTTGATTACCTACCTTCTTATCGCACTTACATTACTATTTTGGTATATGCTATGACAAGTTATAACTAGTGGTCTACAATCTATCTTTCCAGAATGTTATTAATTGCAATCATAGACATATAATAGAAATGTACTTAGCGCTGCAATACATACCCGTTTTCCAGTGCGACAGAGAAAACTGACGCAAAGCATTCCTACATATCTTTATAATGTGCCGGGTTTATCAACAACGCGACCTTCTCATTGGTGTTTTAGGTCACGTGGTCGATTATCCCGGCACATTTCAAAGATATGCAGGGGTTGCTTTGCGTCAGTTTTCTCTGTCGCACTGGAGAAACGGGTCTGTATTGAAGCGTTGTATTATATGTCTATGATCGTAATAGAGAATCGACATAACCCTTTTTAATTACCACTTAGTTTTATATTATTGCGTATATCAATGATAAAAGAAAAAAATAGAGATGACTTAGTTGAGAAAATGCTTTAATGTAATAATAATGAACTGAGTAATACTACATGCAGAAGAGAGGTCAACTTTTTGATATCTATACACAGGTCATGTGGATTAGAAATTCATGACATCGTTGAATTTTTGTTTGCATGCCACACAAGAAGGTATATAAAACAAGATTTATTCAGTCACCAACCAACATCTTGTATTAATTTATTGTCTCCTAAAAATAATTACATTGTACGTCGTTTGACTGATATTTGATGTCACTTAAGGCGTTAACTATATTTCACTTTAATTTTTTAGAGCTGGTGATGTCAAACATAACGATGAGACGATATCATTAATATCACAACACAATGATATTATCAATCCTAATATGTCGGAAATTGTGTTACTAAACATAAATGAGGACGAAATCTTTCCAATAAATATAATAACATCACGTGCTGGACATTCTGATTTATATGCTAATGCTTCATCTAACGAGTAAGTACATATGTTTATATATTATTTGTTTTTGACAAAGTGAAAAGCTCAGGTTCATTCGATAAAATATTCCCATGAGATTTTTTTGCATAATCACTTTCATGAGATACCCCAAAATAGGGTTCAAAAAAACACCCAAGTCAAAAGTTTTTTAAAATAAATTGTAAAAATCAATTTTTTAGGCCCAGACAATTTTTTTTAATTTTTGGATCATTTTGAACAAAATAGTTTTCTTGTAGTTTTTCTGTAAACTGGATCGTTTTCGAGTTATAAATAATTTGAAACTTAAAAAAAACGCAAAATTACGAATTTTAAGGATCAAAAACACAAGTAAAAAACATTATTTTGAATTCACTAAGGATCTTAATTCAAGTTCAAACTTTCTTCTATCATTTGCCAACAAGTACTTTGGACCTAGCTCATTTTAAAACCTTGTTTTTTAATTGTTAATGAAGCGGTTAGCCAGGACGGGCGCTCGGGCTGCGGCGTATATAAGAAAGAGAAACAAGATATATGGTACACATTTTTACTGGTTTAAATTCTCATTGTACAAATAAGCGCCCTCCTTGCCATACGCGCTTCATTAACAAATAAAAAACAATGTTTTAAAATCAAATAAACCCACAATTTGAATTTATTCTATAAATTATTTGTTTGAAGTTAAATTTATTCCTTGTACAAATGAGCGCCGGCTCTGCCATACGCACTTCATTATCAATTAAAAACAATGGTTTAATAGTTATTTATGCATCAAGGGTATTATTAAGATTATTAGGCCTGGTGAGCAACATATTCCAGCCGTAGGACCTCTGATCCGAGGGATGGATATTGCTCGATGGGCGTAATTATTATGTAACACCAGTAATTCAAAATATGCTATGCTTATGTATTTTGTAGGTGCAGTAGAATAAAAATAAAAACGTCTCAATTTTAGTTTTTACATTATGTGAACTAAAAAATAAAATCTGGTATGTACCCTGGTGTTACCTGATGATTCTGTACAGAGGCCTCCCTGGCTGGATTATGTTGCTCTCCTGGCGTAATCATCTTAATAACACCCTTGGTGTATAAATAACCAGTAAAAATTTGTGCCCTAGATCTTGTTTCTTTTTCTTATACACGCCACAGCCCGAGCGCCCGTCCTGTCATAAGCGCTTCATTAGCGATTAAAAAAAATCTCTCGATAATAAAAACGTAACCAATATTTTCTTTTTTAGGACCGACGTAAGCGACGTATTCGTTCGGTTTACTGTGTACAAAAAGGATGGATTGGATACATTCTCGGCTGTTATAGGTTGGATATATTTCGTTGCTTGGTCTGTTTCGTTTTATCCGCAAATATATATCAACTGGAAAAGGAAAAGGTTAGTACAATTATATAAAATTTTTGACTGTTTGAGTGTTTGACTATCACGTGAGAAACAGGTTTAACAGCTGGCACCAGCGAAAGCATTGAGATATTTTTAGTAATACACAAAAACTCATATATAATAAAATTAGGATCTAATAATAGTTTTTAATAAAACAAGACTCTGTTTGACATAATGTAGGCAACAGGTGGCGTCAGTAAGACTGGAGAGCCGCCTAACAACGCAAACCTATTAATTGTGGAGTAATACAAGGATGTGTCCTATCGCCCAATGACTACTCAGAATACATATTTCAATGAGTGATAGTAAATGTGGTTTAATAAATGGTAAAACCCTATCCAATATAAGATACGTTGACGACACAGCGGTGTTAGCAGATAGTGGAGAAGACTTCCAACTTCTGCTAGACAAACTAACCAGAGAAAGCGATGAAACTCTGCCTGAAAATTATCACTACAAAAATTAAGATTACGGACATAGACCGAAATCCTAACTTGCAGACATAACGACATAACTATCTACAACACGCCAATAGAACAAGTGACAACATTCAAATACTTAGTCTAATGAATAACAGACATCCTAGACACAGACTTAAAAATCAGATTAGAAATGATAACCACCAAACTTTGTCAAATGCTATATGGACTCTGTCTTGTATGGAGAAGAGTTTTGGACCATGGAAGTTAGTACAGTGAATTGCCTTGAGGCCTTGGAAATGTGGATATACCGGAGTGGATGGACATTTTTATTACAGAGATTTTCGATAAAACTCAGCTGTTTGATATTGTATGGCACAATCAAAGACAGTTTTGTTTAAGAACAGAAAATTCTTTATGTGCATGATATAAACCTGGATCTAAATATCCATGCTTTCCGTGATTTACAATGGTGCATAAGCACGGACCACAACATATGTCATAGTTAAAAAACTGGAAGATTTTTAGATGGGATGTTAGAAGAAACTACATATTTCGTATTAGTAGAGACAGAGTACGTAATGAAACTAGGCTAATTCCACAAAAGAAAGATAAGCATCATAAAAACGGCGACAATGTTATGTTAACGTACGCTAAGCCTATAGAGTCCTCTGATAAGAACTTTTATAAGTAAAGTAAAAATACCTTTTGCAGAAGAGTGAAAACAGTTTTTGAATATTGGATTTACAGTTAGGGGCGAGTATAAGTTATTATAAAAGACATTCCTTAGACTGGAACTGGTTATACGATGGAAACAAGTAGCATACAAAATGAAAGATCTGAATTCGATGTGGTCGTGCAATAATTGTCAATAAAATATTTAATAATAAAAATTTAAGGATAAAAACGGACTTTGAAAAGATAAAACGTAACGAGGAACATAAAACAGTAAGAATGGGACTGTAGGACGAACAATGGGAACTTACATAATGTACGTCTCCAATTAGAGGATATACAGAACAAACCGAAAGTATACAAACAGTCAACGCCGCAAATAAACAGAAAAATTACAGCAACTGGAGAGATTTTTTTTTCTTTCTCTGAAAGTATTGCATGTTACACTGATGAGGATCAGTATTTCCAAAAAAAAGAAGAATTGAATGGTCTCGGATATGTAGACTATTACAGTTTGCAAGAGAACCTTCGTTACCCGCTGTAGACCCAGTGGTATAGTATTTTTCATATAAAAATGCGTGCAGGTCATTCAAGATTTACGAAGTCAGAACCCCACAGCGTTGCCAAAACATCAGAATAACTAGTAAGTGAGGAATTTTTAAAATGTTAACTACTAATTTTAATACAAAATTATATATTCTAAATTTTAAACTTACCACTTTTAGAGCATTGATAATAAAAACGTCCCGCCATTATTGTTCAAAATAATCTATCTTATATGAAATCTTATCAGATTTCTAGTTGTTTTGGCATAGCACAATCACAATACACGACAATAATTAGTTTTTAAAGCTATTAATTTAAATTTAATATGTATTTATAAATACACTTTATTAATATATAATATATTATGATTAAATTGTGTAAGAAATTGTGTAAGAAATCAAAGACGGTATAAAAGTCGGAGATGCCACACTGGACAGAGTAGAGAAACTCGTGTATCTCGGCAGTAATATCAATGAGAGCTGGGATCCAACCGCAGAAATTAAAAGCCGAATAGAACAAGCCCGAGCTGCCTTTGTAAAAATGAGAAACGTACTTTGCAGTCATGATCTTAGCATTGACCTTAGAGTTCGTATGATATCTTGCTACATCTTTCCTGTCCTGCTGTATGGAGTAGAAGCGTGGACCCTAACTGAGGCTATGCTTAAACGCTTGACAGCCTTTGAGATGTGGGTATACAGACGACTACTGAAAATAAGCTGGGTCGACAGAGTTTAGAAATGAGGAGGTCCTTAGACGGCTAAACCAAACAACACAACTGGTCAATATACTAAAGAAACGCAAGCTGGAATACTTCGGTCATATTATGAGACACCCTGAAAAATATGATCATTTACATCTGATCATTCAGGGAAAGATTCAAGGTAATCGTGGTCCTGGTAGAAGATGAACATCATGGCTGAAAAATCTAAGGCAATGGTATGGAAAATCAACTACATCGTTATTTAGAGCTGCTGTCAATAAAGTCACGATAGCGAATATGGTAGCCAACATGATATCCAACGATCGATAACGGTCATGGAACTAGAAGAAGAAATCAAAATATAAACAAAATTCTTACTTTAAAAAAGCGGCAACATTTTAAACAATTTTGTCACACGCTGGACTATCAAAAAATATGAAGTATTTTGGTATCAGTTGCGTACAATTGTCTAATATATTTAATTGAAATTCTTATTTTGTAGAATATTATACTTAAAGAGTTATTTCATAAAATTTATATTATTAATAATAACAAAATTTTTCTGGTTATTTAATCAATATAACTCTAAAATTCCCAATATAATGATGATTACATTTTTCTGATTATTATACCATGTTGACGCCTATGAAAGATTGAGCAGTTCCGCATTGGTTTTGTATTATTAGCTGTGTTAGGAAAATTTGAACTCTGAGGTTGACGTTCTGGAAATTTTAAATATAAGTGACGTCACTTTATATAAATTGTGACGTGCATGCATTTTTATATGAAAAATACTATATATCTGAAATAAGGTTTGGCCACAGAATAATAAACATACAGAATACCCACTCTCCACGGAAAATTAAGTACGCGCATCTCCTCCGCGCAGACGTTCCGCCATGTTTTAGGAGGATTTTAAAGAAATTATGTGGTGTGCATGGAAAAATTAACCAGGTTTATTTGACTTACGGCAATCATAGACATACTATACAATTATATTAACATTGTTAAATATAATAACATAAATATAATATAATTAAACATAAATATAAACAATTACATAACCACACAAATCATATGTCTGTGTCCTCCTCAAACATGGCGCGCGTGCTGAAAAACTTCAAAGGCGGCATCTGAGAGTGGCCCTTCTGATTGTTTATTATTCTGTGGTTTGGCGAAAGAGACCCTACTTCGTTTACTGGTAGTATTATATAGTATTTAGTACTGGTATTTGCCATAATCCAAAAAAAGTTATTCGCTCATAATCAGTAATTTTATTAAAAGAATGATTAATCGTAATAATTTCGCGGTTTTTATGGAATACGTGGTTCTTCCTTGTATCTCGTTGTATATGTGCTCTGAAGTTTATTCTGAAAACTTATTAGGCAGTATATTATATAAATGTTTTTAATTTTTTTAGTGTTGTTGGTTTGAACTTCGATTTTATTGCTTTGAACGTGGTTGGATTTTCCCTATATTCTCTCTTCAATTTGGGGTTGTACTACATTCCAGAAATTAGGGTAAGTATCAACACAACTGCGTAAAACATGTGTAATTTAATATCTAAATCAACCGTGCATCTTAACTTTGCTTTGAAAAAACAGTACTCAAGAATATTCTTGAAGAAGCTTGTGAGAATTAGTACAGTAGAACGTACCGGGTGGTCCAATAAGCCGATCTCTCGGCTATATATCAGAAACTATTCATGTTATAACTTTAGGAGAAAAAATTCCTTGGTAAAAGTGGCCAAGAGAAAGCGCTGGAAATAACTTTCAAGATTCTCGATTAACCGCTAGGGGGTGTAACCTGCGAAGAAAATTTTGAAAACCAGTTTTTTAGGAAATATGTCAAATTATACCAAGTGTTAAATAAGTAAACTAGAAAGGGGCATAAATTCTGCACAAAGCTGTTTAAGTACTTTTTTTTTATTTTTTCAAATAAAGGGTGGGGGAGAGTGGGAAAGTATTTGTGGATAAATACCTACAACTTTGGTTTGGATCAACCGATTTTAATGAAATTAGTGTCATTAGAAAGAGTGTGGATAAATTAATTTACATCTACTATAAAATAATTGCATTTAGTTTTAATTGTCGTAGGTAGAGGGTACTTTCGAATAAAAAAAATTAAAATTTGTTTTTCTTCAAAATTTTTAATGGAAACACCTATTTATTGTAAATTATAATGGAACTGGATTAAATTCGTAACAAAATGGAGCAAACCGCATGTTAATAGCTTTTGTTGAACTCGAGTTATGAATAAAAACTCATAAACATAAGTAAGTATAATATTGACACACCCTGTATTATAAATTACATTAAAAAATAAGTCAGTAGGTATTTTCAAATTTTTTTATAGCAGAAGAATCTTAATGTTGATACTACCTATTTTGTAAAAAATAGTTTTTTCGAAACTAAGTAGGCTACGACAATGAATTTGACGGGGAGTTCATATTGTTTATTTATTGACAGCAGTCATAACATTGTTAAGAAGTGCTATATTATAATTCGAATTAAAGATTGCACTTTTTTCAATAGATATTAATATTGGTAATATTAGTAATTAATTATCAGTACAAATAATTCGTGATGAGTATATCAAATTGTATGATATGATTGGAGTTTATTTCGAATGTCACCAAAATGCCGCTATTGCCTCACGTATATATTTTGTAGGATATCCTGACAGGAGACATTATGGCAAAGAAGTATTTGAAAGAAAAGCAAAAATATTAAGAGAAACTGGTAGTTTTTCTCGTCCTTGTTTTAAACGACGTAGTAGAGTTATGACCGAAGATAATTCAATCAATGTTCTTGCTTTAATTCAACAGAATCCACATATAAGTAGTCCGAAATTTCTACTTCTTTGCCACAATATCTCCTGCCAGCATATCTTACAGAATATATACGTGAGGTAATAGCGCCATTTTGGTGATATTCGAAATAAACTCCAATCATATCATACAATTTGATATACTCATCACGAATTATTAGTACTGATAATTAATTACTAATATTACCAATATTAATATCTATTGAAAAAAATGGAATTTTCAATTCGAATTATAATACATATAACACTTCTTAACAATATTTTGACTGCTGTCAATAAATAAACAATATGAACTCCCTGTCAAATTCATTGTCGTAGCCTACTTAGTTTCGAAAAAACAATTTTTAATCATATGAAATAACAATGCTTAAAATAGGTATCAACATTACGAGTTTTCTGCTATAAAAAAATTTTGAAAGTACCTACTGACTTATTTTTTAATTTATTTTATAATACAGGGTGTGTCAATACTATACTTACTTATGTTTATGCGTTTTTATTCATATCTCGAGTTCTATAAAAGCTATTAACATGCGGTTTGCACCATTTTGTTACGAATTTAATCCAGTTCCATTATAATTTACAATAAATAGGTGTTTCCATTAAAAATTTTGAAGAAAAACAAATTTTAATTGTTTCTATTCGAAAGTACCCTCTACCTATGACAATTAAAACTAAATTCAATTATTTTATAGTAGATGTAAATTAACTCATCCATACTCTTTCTAATGACACTAATTTTGTTAAAATCTGTTGATCCAAACGAAAGTTATAGGTATTTATCTACAAAGACTTTCCCACTCTCCGCCACCCTTTATTTGAAAAAATAAAAAAAAAGTACTTGAACAACTTTGTGCAGAATTTATGCCTCCTTCTAGTTTACTTATTTAACACTTGGTATAATTGGACATATTTCCCAAAAAACTGGTTTTTAAAATTTTCTTCGCAGGTTACGCCCCCTAGCGGTTAATCCAGAATCTTGAAAGTTATTTCCAGCGATTTCTCTTGGCCACTTTTACCAAGGAAATTTTTCTCCTAAAGTTATAACATGAATAGTTTCTGATATATAGCCGAGAGATCGGCTTATTGGACCACCCGGTACAATGAACTACATGAACCTTAAAATATGAACATTCATAGTAATTATCTTAATACTTTGATATTCTTACCTCACAAATTCACGAACAACAAATAATACCAATCACACAGAATGAATGTTCATAAACAAAGTCCTTACTTATTCTTCAAACAATTAAGAACCAATATTTCTAACTTCTCATGAGACAAATACACACAAATTAGTAATGTTTAGAAAGGTTTGTAAAATACCCGCCCATTGTGACGTCAGCGCTTAGGTAGTCCATAGCGACCACTGAGAGGAACGTTTAAATTGATCACTATATACGAGATTGTGCTGTCTATAATAATCTTATCTCTCTTTAGATCTTCATCTCAGTCTTTCTGTTTTGATACATATAGTGGAACCAATCAAACATAATCCGTATTCTCATTATGTACTTCCAGATCACCGTCAAAAGATCAAAATTGTTCTATTATCATCTCAAAGTATCTCTTCTGGTTGTTCATTTTCCTCAGTGAGATTATTTGGAAAGCCAGCCTTAAGGAAACCTTTTATCACTGTTTTCGATTTAATTGAATTTAAAGCTGCAATTATCACCTACCTTATTAGTTATTTTTATTCAGATCTTTAAAATTTAACCTAATTACAAAAGTTGACTTAAAATCCTTTATAAAAGGTATATAGTTCAAAACCCCTTTTGAGCTACATCACAGAACGTTTTCGCAGGCTAAAAACCAATTATCAGTGTTTTGTTGCCTGGAATAAGTATACCTACTTAATTTAAAGCAAACGTAAAGGTAACATTTTGTCTAAGGCTAAAAAAGAAATGTGGTAAAATACTTACTAAGTGCACATGAGTCAAGCTACTAAATACCTAGGTAAAAACCCTTTAGATGGTACAAAATTTAATGGCTGACACTATTTTTTTATGAAAAGTCCTAAACTGAATGCTAGTAATTTGTGTGTTTTGTGTATGTTTTCGACAATGAATATATCATAATATTATTACACTTCCATGCTGTTTATAAGCTGATTTCATTCATTTTTTTCTATGTTGTGTTCCATTCTTTTTTCACTTCTGTTTATGAGTACTCTTCGGAATACTCTCATTTCTTATGTTTTCAATAATCTTTGTGGTATGTTCGCGTGTTTGACATCTTTTGGTTTTTTTACTTTGTGGATAAAAATTTATTTCTCCAAATAGGGTCATTTAGAACCCAGATATTCTGTTGGCTTTGGTTATTGGTTGCTTAACCTCTTTTACTTTTTCCCCGATAGATAAGGTTGTTCCCAGTTAATTCACCTCTTGTTCAGGTGCTTACTTTTCAATTGCTAAATTTCAATTTGTATCGGATAGGCTATGTTGGCATTACCATTGTTTCTATTTTCCCTATTAAATTCTACTCCCTATTAAAGTCTACTGTACGACAGTGTAAAATTTGTGCAGTATTCTCTGTACGTCACCCTCATTTTCTGCTAAAATTGTTGTATAAACTCCAAACCACAAAATTAAGTTGAATTAAATGACCATGTGAACTCTTTGCATTCAAGCTGCCTGCATTTTCGTGACAATGTTGTTATAATCTAGCAAATCATTGCTACCTTTAAAAACAAATTCAAGATCGAGCTTAAGGCTCGGTGTTGTACCGAACAGCATTCTTCTTTGACATGTGAGGATATCGATGTTTAATCCCATCAAGGTGTAAACTTTAGAATTTAATAAATTAGTAAGATGAAGTATGAACATAGTATCGGAAACCAACAGCGTAATAAAACAAAAAAGTTTCAGTTTTGGAATTTAATCGGACCACTTAAGTGATTATTGTCTACACTCAATCTCGTGATGTACAGCAACATGTATAATAATTATAAGCCGTTTATTTATTTCTTCGATAAAAAAGTAATTTGTAATTTTAAATAACTTCAGTTTTTCTTCATTCTAGGATGAATATGCCCATAGGTATCCTCGAGGCTTAAATCCAGTAAAAGTAAATGATATTGTTTTTGCTGTTCATGCGTTTATAGCAACAATATTGACAATCATACAGTGTTTCATTTACGAAAGAGAAGATCAAAGAGTGTCTACAACTGCCAGGGGAATTTTAGGGATATTTGGAGTTTTCATCTTAATCAGTATTATCTTGTCAGCTTGCAACGTTATTCACTGGTTGGATCTGTTGTATTATTGCTCTTACGTTAAGTTAACTATAACTCTCATTAAGTATATACCACAGGTAAGTAATATAATTGGATATTAATATATACACACACACACACATATATATATATATATATTATATATATATATATATATATATATATATAATATATATATTATATATATATATGTAGTTTTGAGTTTCTTGAACCGTATTATATTTAATATAAAATTAATGTTTCTTGGGTTTAGGTTCAATAAAGATATGTTACATGTGGAACTAGATTGTATTTTCCATTGCAATCAATCAACGTTTCGGCAGGAAACCCTTGCCTTTGTCAAGATTCTAAAATGTGTATATATATATAAGGACAAACAGATATTTTAAAATATGTATATATATATATATATATATATATAATATATTATATATATATATATATATATGAATTACCAAAACGTAAAACGTGACACAGACATTAACGAACTGACATATAAAAGTTAATATCTGATATCTCATTGTTTACTGTCATTAGTATATAATTATTTTTAGATGAGCGTATCGTTGATGTTGAAAAAGGTAAGGTGGAGATATGTTATGACTTTAAGAGCTTTTTATGATGTTATATTATTATTGTTTAAATCAGATTGAAATATATTTTATTTAGGTTTTGTGTATCTTTTTTGTCATTTATTGCGTTGGTGTTTCTTTTTATTTCTATTGATTCGTATATCTCCCTCTTCTTTTTGTTTTTTTCTGTTTTTAAAATTCTGATATTTTCAAAATCAAATTTATGCTTCTTCCCGCTTTCATGTTTTGTGAGCGCAGTGACGTTGTTCTTGTCGTATTTGTGAGAACGAATTCTGGATTGAAGCAGTTGACTGGTTTGACCGATATAGATATCTTAACTACAATTCCCATCATCCATTTTCCCATAAGAAGTCTGTAATTATAAGTCTCGCTGATAAATCTATAAAACTAACAGATCCAGAATACAGACCAACTGCAATAAAAAAAAGCAAAAAATGCCCTCCTAAAGAATGCATATCCCGAACATCTAATGGAAACTATTTTCAAATCAAGACTCAATAAATTTTATAACAATACAACTAACAACAAACCCAACAGTATCAAAACCACTTATACAACTCTTCCATATATAAAAGGTTTATCTGAACAACTAACCAATCTTTTAGCCAGACTTAACATAACAGTGGCCCACAAAGGCAACAATCTCTTAGATAAATATTTCACAAAACTAAAAACACAAACTCCAAAACTTAAAAAATCAAATGTTGTTTACGAGATACCATGTACAAACTGTGAAGGTGTCTATATCGGTCAAACCAGTCAACTCCTTCAATCCAGAATTCGTTCTCACAAATACGACAAGAACAACGTCACTGCGCTCACAAAACATGAAAGCGGGAAGAAGCATAAATTTGATGTTGAAAATATCAGAATTTTAAAAACAGAAAAAAACAAAAAGAAGAGGGAGATATACGAATCAATAGAAATAAAAAGAAACACCAACGCAATAAATGACAAAAAAGATACACAAAACCTAAATAAAATATATTTCAATCTGATTTAAACAATAATATAACATCATAAAAAGCTCTTAAAGTCATAACATATCTCCACCTTACCTTTTTCAACATCAACGATACGCTCATCTAAAAATAATTATATACTAATGACAGTAAACAATGAGATATCAGATATCAACTTTTATATGTCAGTTCGTTAATGTCACGTTTTACGTTTTGGTAAGTCATATATATTATATATATATATATATATATATATATATATATTATATATATATATATATATATATACATATTTTAAAATATCTGTTTGTCCTTATATATATACACATTTTAGAATCTTGACAAAGGCAAGGGTTTCCTGCCGAAACGTTGATTGATTGCAATGGAAAATAAAATCTAGTTCCACATGTAACATATCTTTATTGAACCTAAACCCAAGAAATTTTATATATATATATATATATATATATATATAATATATATATATAATTTTATATTATATATATATATATATATATATATTATATATATATATATATATATACACTCAGATACAAAAAAAAATGCAACAGAAAATTTTGGTCAAATTCAAAGTATTTCATTTTTTTTTATTTTTAGCCGGATTTTGATGATTTTTTTAGTACACTGTGTATAAATTTATAAATTTTAATTTGGTATAGTCAGTTTTTTATTTAAATTTTATATTTGAATTATTGTACGGGGTTAATTAAAACGTGGTTTTATTATCCTAAATTTGAAACATCCTGTGGAATAATTCCGTTTGCGAATTTTCGTAGAACCTTATTTTTCTGTTGCAACCATGTCTCCTAAGCATTGTGTTTTTGTCTGATGTCCACAAAATATACCTTGGTTAATTTTTTAGAGCCAAATGAATTTAGGGCTTTTTTAATTATAATTATTTTGGAGTTATTTTGTAATACGACGAGGTGGTTTTGGTGGCTGTTATCATTATGTCATATTGACACTTACATTTGGTTCACCTATGATTGATCATGGTTCTTAGTGGTTCTTCTGCTGTCGAAGACTGTGCGAAAGTCGTTGCTCTGGTTGGAGATGGACGAAATTATAAATATGTGACTAGAGTAAAGAGTACTACACACTCATCGCTCTACGATCCACAGGCTAGTGGAACGTTTTATACGAACAGGAACAAACAAGCGTATAGTGGGAAGCGGGAAATGACAGGAAGTGCAAAACTACCGCTTTAAATGATCGTTTTATACAAGTCAACGCTTTGCGGGATCATTTAACAGCGGAGCAAATAAAAAATCAGCTTCAAGAGGTTCGAGGCAAAGTTCGTCGAAGATTATATGAATTTGGTTTGCAAAGTTGCAGACCAGCAACTGGGCCCAAATTAGTTCCACGGCACAGAGTGACTAGACTACAATTTTCCATGGAACATTTACATTGGAATTTAGGACAATGGAGTAGTGTTCTTTTTACGGATGAATCGAGATACTGTATTCAGTGATCAGATGGGGGAGAACGAATATGGCATCAAACTGCAGAGAGATTTTTTAGTCCCGACGTTAGCCATGGAGGGGGTATAATGATGGTATGTTCAGGAATATTTTTTATTTTAGCCAATCACGTAGTACCCTTTTCTTAATATATCGGCGATGATTGTCTATTAATTCAATGCGTTTCACGCAATATTTAGAGGAAGATAGTGGTCTGCAAATAAAATGAACTGGCCAGCGTGTTCGCCAGATCTGAACCTAATAGAGCACGTTTGGGATATGCTTGGTAGACATATTAAAGGTCGCGAAGTCGCACCAGCCTCAATGAACTTCGCTTGGCTCTAGAAGAGGAATGGCAATATATCCACCAAGATGATATTCGCAACCTTATAGACAGCATGAGCCGACGTGTACAGGCAGTTATAGAGGCTATGGGAGGCAATGCAAAGTTATTTTTTAGTAGTTTTTCTTTGTTATATGCGTACTTAGGTTAAGTTACAAATAAGTTGTTTTTTTTTATGTTTTGTTATTGTTATCATAAATAACAGCAACCTAGTAAGCGTAGAAATTAAGAGAAGAATATGCCTGGCGAACCGAGCCTACTTTGAACTAAAGCTGTTCTTAACATCACACATAATTAGCAGAAAAAGCAAAATACTAATGTATGAAACTCTTATTAAACCTGTCCTGACATGCGCGTTAGAGACATGGACTATGGTAAAAAGCGACGAAGAGCTGTTAGGCCGCTTTGAAAGACGAATACTTAGACACATATATGGAGGAGTAAAAGAAAGCGGGATATGGCGCAGGCGCTACAATTTTGATCAATGCTATGAAAAATGCAACATCGTCCGATCTATTAAAATTAATAGACTAAGGTGGCTAGGACTCCTTGAAAGAATGGACACTGGAGACCCAAAAAGACAGATATTGTATCAAGAGCCAGTAGGAACCAGGAAGAGAGGCAGGCCAAGATCTAGATTCAAAACTCAAGTCGAAGATGACTTGAGGAATCTAGGGGTCAGAAATTGGAAAGCCAGGGCGAAAGATAGGGGGAATGGAGACTAATTCTTGAACAGGCCAACACCCACCCAGAGTTGTAGAGCCAAAGATGATGATAATATTGTTATCATTGTTCATTAAAACCAAGATCATGTCATTGCTTTTAATCTTTATTTAAATACAGTGCTTCTGGGATGTCGATATGACATTCCTTTGATATTAATCACCAAAACGCCAATCGTCATATTACAAGTTAATACAAAAGATAATGGTAATAATAGGAGAAGTCGTAAATTGTGGGTGGCAAAGTCATTTAGCTCCTAAAAATGAACCAATGCATATTTTTACATAAAACAAAATACATAATACTTAGAAGACATGGTTGCAACCGAAAGACAAAGTCTTACGAAAATCCGCTAACGGAATTATTCCACAGGCTATTTCAAAGTTAGGATAAAAAACCACCTTTTAATAATTAACTCCGTATAATAAGTCAAATACAAAGTTTTTGTTAAAAAACTTACTATACTTAATTAAAATCTATAAATTTTTACACAGTGTGGTAAAAAATCATCAAAATGGGGATAGAAATAAAAAAAAACTGAAATACTTTGAATTTGACCAAAATGTCCCCCGTTACGTTTTTTTGCATCTGAGAGTAGATGAAAAGGTCAAAAATTATTTTAAATACTACAAAATTAACGCTTACTAGGTAATAATCTAGTTATGTCTGCAAAAAAATGAAATATGCAACATGATTGTTTTTCTTTAATCTTTAAAATAAACTCTAATATCTTCTTTGGATTCTCTACCTGTACTATATCGTCAGATAATCTATTGTATTTTTTTTTTTTTGATGGTTAGACAAGAACTTGGTCATATCTCTTACTCTGACCAACTTTTAATGATTACGTTGCATTTTTAAAAAATTGTAGACTGCCTTATTACTTTTATTAAATTAACCGACTTCTTCAATTTTATACTAACAGCTAAAGAAACTATTATTCTATTTTTAGGCCTACATGAACTACAAACGAAAAAGTACCATTGGATGGAGTATAGGAAATATATTTCTAGATTTTACTGGAGGTACCTTGAGCATGTTACAAATGATGGTCGATGCCTACAATTATGGTAAGTATTCGTGTCTTTCATTCTAGATACTGTTTTTTTATTTGCACATTCAACAAATAATAAAATTTTTACTTAATTTTAATAATTGTAATGAAAATTTTGGTAATTTTAATTTTAAAACGCTACAGCCTTCATCTATTTGATACAAACATTCGATAAAGTATGGCATACTGGTCTATTCTATAAAATAAAGAAACCACTTCCATATCCGACGTCCTCGTTCCCTTTTACTATTACTGATTACTCTTCCCTGAACCCCATCACATCAGTTTACCATAAGGCAGCGTTCTATAAACCAATCCTGTATCTAATTTACACCAATGATATTCCCATTATTTGTTATAACACAAAAGTGGTTATTAAAACGTCACATGAAAGCAAACTAAGCAAAATCAATACATCTAATATTCTCACTTCTCAAAGAAGCATGTTCATCAGTTCATCTGGACAGAAGACTGACTCGGCGAAGACATATAGAAGAGCTAATACCCAAAGATATCTACTAAATATCGTTAAACAGCAAAAAACCTCATACTAAAACTGTATTCTAAGGCAGTGATTCTCAACCTGTGGGGCGCGCCCCTCTAGGCGCTATTGCTAATAGGAGGGCACTGGCATCTCCGAAAAAAAAAAATCACAAACAACATTGACTAATTTACTAAAATCACAGCAAAGCAAAATTTGACAAAATAAAGAGAGCTTTAACACTGGTATAATAGGCACACTATAGTCCTTTTCCATCATTTTGATAGCACATTATGTATGCAAATCCTCAACAGGTCAAAAAACCATAGGCGTCACCCTTTACTTGTTTTGAAATAAATCAAAAAAATTAATATTTTAAGATACCGTCAACAATTCATTATCTTTTAAAAAATCTTTTGTAAAATAAGTGTCCACTAATCTCACTATATGTTTTACGAAATAAATTAATGTAAACAGTAATTTAAAGGTGATTATTGTTTTCTATACAAGTTATCGCCTGACACAAAAAGAATACCTTCTTTGAACGATTACCTGGAATTACTGATAAGGCTTCACTAATGATAGCTTAAGTAGTTTTTTATGCCACATTACAGCGTATGCCAATAATATAAATTAGAAATTGTTTGCATCTTCCTTTAGTTTATAGATGTACATTGTTCATGTCTTACCTACCTACGTTTTTGGTGTCGATATTTTGTTATTTGCATTTAAAAATGACGTCGACAACAGGTTTTATCCCGGTTTAGTGTAGTTTTAAAGGTGCCTTCAGTCTAAGAGAGAAAAATATAATATTAAATGTACACGATGCACTTGTACATTAACGCCCTGTAAGTAATGTTCGTGAAATCGTTAACATGTGTTCAGATATGACAGGGGTTGGAGAAGCAACAATTTATAGATTTCTAAAAGAAAGAAAAGGAGGAACTGTTGCATGTCCCAAGAAGAGTGGAGGGAGTAAACCCTTGGAAATTGAAGAAATACATAAAAACATGATAAGACGCAGCGTCCACTCATTTTTTTTTTAACAAAGAATTTCCAACATTGGATAAAATCCAAACATTAATTAGAGAAAACAAAGAGTTACCAATCATAAGCAACAAGAAATTATGGGGACTATTGAGAGAGATGGGATTTCGTTGGCAAAAGAATACAAGAAAATCCGTTTTAATTGAAAAAGATTACATTGTATGTTGGAGACGAGATTATCTAAGAACTATTAAAAAGTACCGAGAAGAAGAGAAAACGATTTTTTATTTGGACGAGACTTGGCTAAATGAAGGTCATACTGTACCATATCTATGGGTTGATACAAATGTGAAAAGTTCCCGTCAGGCATTCATCGAAGGTGTATCTACTGGAATAAACAATATTTCCGTTGGAAAAGGACGCAGACTCATAATAACCCATATTGGAAACGAATACGGTTTTGTCAATGGTGGATTATTAAGTTTTGCCTCAAAATCAACCAAAGATTACCACGAGGAAATGACTGCTGACGTTTTTGAAGAATATTTTAAGCAAATGTTGGATTTAATTCCATAAAATTCTGTCATAGTCATGGATAATGCTAGTTACCATTTAAGACTAGCAGAAAAATTGCCAACAACGGCATGGAAAAAAGAAGAGATAATCGAATGGTTGGATAAACACGCAATTGAGTACAAGGAGAATTCGACAAAAAAAGAATTATTACCTATGGTAAGGCAACATAAAGCAGCTTATAAAAAATATATAATTGACGAAATGGCATTAAACCGTGATGTAATTATTTTACGTTTACCCCTATACCACTGTGATCTGAATCCGATAGAAAATATATGGTCTCAAGTAAAGGGTGAAGTCGGACGCAACAACAAAAATTTTAAATTAGAAGACTTACAACAATTATTAGAACATTCCTTATCAAAAGTAAGTCCAGAAAATTGGAAAAATGCTGTTAGTCATGCTCACAAGGAAGAAAATAAAATGTGGAATTTGGATAATATGACTGATGCAATGCTGGAACCGGTAATAATTAACATTGGAGTTGAAGATTCTGAAGAAAGCAGTGAATCTGAAATGGAATTTGATTAAAATAATATTCATTTTTTTACAAATCGGCCCCTGTTACGGCCACAAATTATTATATATATATATATATTATATATATATATATATATATTATATATATATATATATATATATATATATATGTGACGTCCTCTCGTAGGAGTCACTATCCGGGTAGCTTTTGGACAGTCAGAGACAGAGTTCAAAATAAAAATAAAACTTTATTGTCTTCCTTAAATTAAATTGACAAAAATCTTATGTACATATTTACAATTTAGTTTAGTCTTCTCAGTACCTGGCCTATTTATTCAAATTAAGTTTGACCTTGTCGTATGAAGTTCGTCTTATCGGCTATCGAGTGTGTTTTCGGAATTTTACGTGAACGTTGTAATAACAGCGGACGATAGGTACAAAGAAAAGAAAGGAACTCAACACGTCCCTTAAGTGATTCGGGTTAATAGGACACTCCTCGACAGTCTCAACACGACTGCTTCGGAGTACGGGTAATGGAGAGCTCAGCACGCTCTCCGGATGGCGGTATGGAACGGAAACAACTTGTGAACTCAACACGTCCACAAGCCGGGGTAGGGAAGAAGAGAACCTTCAGTCAACACCTGACGATTCTGCCTCTATGAGGAAATAATGCGGTTTATATAGCAAAGTTTTGCCCTTTCTACTGTCGATACACTCCTACTTCATGGGTTGGTTCGCGCGCACGCTGGTTTAACGGTGATAGCTTGGACTCATCGTTACATATATATATATATATATATATATAATATATATATATATATATATATATATATATATATATATATATATATATATATATATATATATATATATATATATATATATATATATAACCAAGAAAATAAACATCTTACATTTCTTGCAAATTTATTAGTACCTGTTAATCTCCATCACTCCGACACTGTCAACTTTATTTAGAGATTAGTAACCCTCAAAACTATTGTATTCTATTCTGCTTCAACCTTTATACCTGGTGGTCATACTCAATTTAAATTTTTTTTTCCTATATACTTCTGTAAACTTGTTGACACATATCTATTTTTCATTGAGTCACTCGTATCAACAGTTTAGGGATTCTATATTTACCTGCGATGTATATTTGGTCTTCAAAGCAGCCACCGCAAAAAACCGTGTTTCTCAAACGTAGGATGTTGAAAACGGTAATAATTTACGGAACGCTCTGGTTTTCAGTGCAGAAAACTCATCACTTACCCCTGTCCAAAATTCAAAGAGGGATTTATTATTAAACTGTTTTGTTGATTACGGCATTTGCCGTGAAGTCTATGAAGGTTTCTTGCGGGTCTATTGCGGGCGGCAGATAAAAAGGGTATTTGTTTATAGCCACGGCTGGGCCAAAAACATAAAAAAACACGTTTTTCGATCTTATTTTCTCTCGTTATAACCAAATTTGCCTCGCTATAGAGGGTTATAGTTCAATAGAAATTCCACGGGACATCTGATGTACCTCGTTATAAGTGAAATCTCGTAATAACCTTGTTCGTTATAGAGGGAGTATACTGTGTATTATTCAGATTTCAAATACAAATATATCATATTAATATCACACTAATGTAACACTGTCAGACTGAAAAAAAGTGGTTTTACAATGCTTTATTTATAATAAATACACTTGCAGTAAGTCGCATTTGATGTTGCAAGGTTCCAGAAAGTTCGGTGCTGATAGGCGGTACCTTTTTATTGATTTCGCGTGATAGAATATACTGGATTCTAGCGGTCATTGTACTATAACTAGCGTCAAAATACTGAATGTACATTATTATTGCATTCATATATTGTTATTATACGAGAGGGGGCGCGGTGAAAATAATTATGAAAAATTGGGTCGCAAATGGTAAAATGTTGAGAAACACTGATCTAAGGAGTTGAGTTGGCAAAATTGAAAGTTCAGGAGTACCAGATCGCGGCATACCTTGTGGGTACAATAATAAGACCAAAATAATTATCTCTAGGCATTCTCCAACCAGCATAAGCGCCTACAGGCTGCATAGCGAAACGGGAATAGTTAGAAACTTATTTTTCTAAAGTAATGAATCAGATGCAGGGTTTCCCATTTGAAAAAAGGAATTAGGAGAAAATTTAGGATGCTGGTTTTATGTCAATTTTGACAGCACCCTGTATAACGAAAAGACAACTTTACACTATAAACGATAAAACTGAAAGTGATTAATAGGTTCCTAAGGAATTTAAACTTTTATTCACATTACATTCGAGAATAGTAACCTTTATATATGGTAGAAAACTGTAATTTTCATATAAAACCATTATAACTCAAAAACGATTTACAATAAATATAGGGAAGTATTAGTAAGAATTGTTCAAAATAACGTGAATATTTCTAAAATTAAAAAATATACAGGATGTACTATCAAAATATGAAGTTATAAGCAACAAAGTATCAAATAGCTGAACATATTTTCGTTAAACAACTCACTCTACAAAACCCCTTCATTCCAATTTTCATGATTCAGTTACCTTTAGATCTTGATATATTTATAATTGCGGTCGTTTATCTGCCGCAGCGTCTATAGTGGTAAAAATTTGATGACTTTGGTTTTAATTGTTTCGTATTTACCAACATTTTAGCAGATTAACACATACAGAACATATTTTATAATACGTTTTTATGTATTTCAGATGACTGGGTCTCAATATTCGGCGATCCAACCAAATTTGGACTAGGATTATTCAGCGTAGTTTTTGACATATTCTTCATCGTCCAACATTACATACTCTACAGACATTCAAGATATGATGTGGACTTGCCTTAATTTTGATATTAAAATAGTTTAAGTATGTACAAAGGATATTACACTTATAAATTTATTTATTACTGTTATATATTGAAAAATGTAACTTTTTTAAAAGATTTTTATTACTAAGATACTTGATATCTACCGATATTGATATTAAATCTTTGTTTTTATTTTTGGTTTTATTTTTTATATATATTTTATGTGACAAAGTAAAGTAAGATACTACTACTTCCAGGAACCCACAGATCAGTAATTCTTCGTATTGGGTGATGATCGTCTCTACGTTGAACATTAATAAACAGTGGAAAGGTTCGAACGTAGTTTTGAGGTTCGAATCGGTTAGTAAATGCCCCTTTGTCCGCTTCTCGTCGATCAATGATAATAGGTATAATAAAAGGTTGAAGTTGTGGAGTAAAAGTGTTGATTTATTGACAGCTAATGGTAATTACACAATATGATGTTCGTTAGGTAACTACTTATTATTGACTGTGTAATTATGAGCTCAAATCCCCAATTTATAATCTTACAAATAATTAATACCTAAGCACCTAGGTCATTGCTTCGTTCATACCATAGACCAACAAACTATTTGCTTACATTACAATTTAATCTACGCCTTAATTGCGACAGTTAGGAAGTTCAGTTAGAAAATATATTATTCGGCAATTTATTTAGTTGTAGGTAAATGAACTAATTATTAAATATTATACGATATGGTTCTAAATTCACTTATACACGGTGAAACTATAAAAGATTAAGAAGTTAAGAATAATGTGAGATTACAAATTAAGCGGTTAATTTGTGATTGAACAACAGTCTTAACCTGTATTTGTCCTCCTTAGTTTTAAAAAATTTTCCCCAAGAGCATGTCTACACTGTTCCATTTTGTGTTCCAAGTTGCTTTCACTATTTTCTACTAACACTACATTATCAGCATACATCCCTAGTAACACTCGACGTCCAATATACGTCCACTTTTGGTCCGGACGTCGTTGAACGTTAAACGGACGTACGAGTGAACTAAATCTGGACGTCCGACATTTACCAATTTGGGATCAAATAGCAAATACTTCAATAGAATAAAAAATTATTTACGTTAATAAAATAATTAAAAACGAAAAGGTTAAATCATGATTAATTAAAAATTGTATAGTTTAATATATCCAAAATATGTTTTTGTTTTTAGGTAAAGTATAAAAATCTTTTATTTCTAGCTAATTCGTTATAATTGTTTTATTATTCTAGTTACCACGATGATATAAGTTTGCCCAAAGTAAAAATATAATGTTTATCAACAAGATGAATCTTGAAGTTGAAGGCATCTTTTCGAAGATGAACAAGTGTGGCAAAATGATCATATTAATTGTCATGTCATACCTATTTAAATAAATGGTACAGTATTGTTAAAGATTTGGTACGATAAGTGTTTATTTTTATTTCGAATTAACGTGTCTCAACATATTTGGTCATTGACACGGGACAAAGGTTTACAATTACATCTACAAAGTTATGATAGAGAGTTTACAATAGTGAAGATTAAAAACAATTGAGAAGTCTTTAAAAAGTCTATTAGGCTCTTGAGTCTTGAAGCTTGAACAGTTCAGAAGTTCTTCTAGACTATGGGTTATATTTTGGCAATGCGGGAAGCCTGGTAGTGTTGACATTCTGGGAGGATGTGCTTGACGGTAATAGAAATTCGTTGCAGTGAGAGCATAACTGTTGGTTTGTAGATAGATTTATTTGAGTTGTTCACCTCCACGGAAATCTTTATTAAAAGGCGAAAGATTTATTCGCTCTGAAGGGAACCCAGAGTTAATTAAATTATGCCGGATTGAATTAACTTTGTATCGACAGACCTGAAGATGCTTTGCAAATTGTAGGAAGCGAAACCGGTCGTCTAGATAGTTAAATTAAACTGATTGTGAGTAAGTCTTATTTATTGCCAAAACCATTTTTGTTTTTCCCAACTTACAAAAAGGCAACAAGCCTTAATTTCGTTTCCTATTTCTCTAAATCACAACAATAACCATATTTTTTAAACTTTTATTACAAATGTATTCAGAAATGGTTTTTTATTATTTCTACTTGTCCCAGAACGATTTGCATTGAATTCAATATATAAATTCGGATAGGTTTACACTTGCCCCTTATGAAAATGTGGAGTAAGAGGAATCCATGTCACATGATTGAAATTTTTTCTTAGAAAAAAGTTCTTTAAAATTTTTTTTTATGTTTTAACACCTCATTCGTATTAGAAAATGGTGTAAGTCTTACCTGTCGGTAACCTAATATAGTAGATATAAAAACTAAATTTTTTAGAAGGCCTTAAACAGAAATTACTGATTTTCTAGGTTCCTCTTACCCCGGTGTACCTTATAACATTTTCATTTGTTAAGTCAAGCAAATCGTTTTTTTTTTTTCTTTCAGAACTTCCTGGCTTGTGGTCATAGGCTTTTTTGTCACGATTTCTGATTTTTTTCCTCTTTATTATTATAGCCTTAAAATATAAGTTTCAAAATTTTGATATCTGAAAATTTTTCTGACTCTTCATCATTTTTAGTTACGTAACAATAAAACACTGAAAACTTTGTTTTCAAACTTACACAAAATTTATTTTTAAACTTATCATTACAGCTGTTTCGGCTGATAGCCTTTCTCAAGTGATCTATTTTTGGCTTGGGAAAGGCTATCACTTGAGAAAGGCTATCAGCCGAAACTGCTGTAGTGATAAGATTAAAAATAAATTTTGTGGAAGTTTGAAAATAAAGTTTTCAGTGTTTTATTGTTACATAAAATGAATTTCCATCAAGTAACGGTCGAATCCATCAATTTTTAGTTACATTCAGTCCCATTTGTATGCAAACGTCCTTTCAGTCAAAAAAATCCTCAAATGAAATTTCATGTACATGATATGGCTATTCATTTTTTCTTGCCGATTTGATTGCCGCAATGAATGAATCTACTGTGTATACGATATCACTTTAATTGTCTTTTCACCTGCCTTTCTATGAGCGAATGTGCAGAGTCACCCTACGAGTCTTAGAAAACGTAGCATTTGATCATTCGGATTATAACCTCTAGACTAAGGTTTGATCTGGTTAAAAATGTTTTCATGTTCATGTTTTCCTCGCTTGTTTAATTCTTGATAGCATTTTTTTTTTTTTTTTGTTACACCACTGGTTACACTAGCTGTTTATATTTGCTACCAAATATTTTATGGAAGTTACTTGTCCTATGTCCCGTGGCATACAAATGTACGTTTATTATTATATTGTTTATCTTTGATAATACCACAGAATAAATAACAATCAGAATGCCCACTCTCCGATGCCGCTTTTGAAGTTTGTCAGCACGCGAACGCCATGTTTTAGACGAAAACATAGACTCTAATTGAGAAATTTGTGACAAGCTACGAGAGAACTGTAATTTAAATTTTTAGAGATTAATAATTTAGTATATTTGAAATAATTTAATCTATTCTTCAATTAAAAGTACGAATAAAATAGTGCATATTATGTCTGTAGTTGCCATAAATAAATTAAACCGGGTTAATTTGTCTATGCTCACCAGATACACTGTCACTGAACAGCACTGGTTCCGTTTAAAACATGGCTGATTCCGTCTGCGCGTACTTTTCAGTCAATTGAGTGGGCATTCTGATTGTTTATTATTCTGTGATAATACCAGAATTTTGGTTTTGGAAACATTTAGATTTAAACCGAACATTTCGCCACATAATTATGTGATTTCGCTAAGTTTGTTTATACTGTATAGAGGATTTGTATACAGCAATTTTTATAGATTAGACGAACGGTTCTCTGCTTTGATACTATCTCGCTTAAAAATGAATTCACAGAATATGCATTAAAATCGACATCTGTCATGTCATTTGTCATTTCATGACGAAGGAAAATTTTGTTTATTTTACATGTGTTTAATAAATTTCCAAAGATAGGTGTTGATATACCGGTATCTAGAATATTCTAATCTAATTGGGTGATACAATACTTTTAACTGTATTAATTCAATTATTGTGAATCTAAAAATGAGTTGCCCTATAGGTAAAGAGGCTGTTGACAAATTAAAACAATTTATATCACTATGTAAGTCAAATCCTGATATTCTTCATTTGCCCGATCTTAAATTTTTCAAAGACTATTTGGAATCATTGGGTGCTTCGCTCCCTGAAACTAGAAAAATGCAATCGGATATCAAAGTAGAACCCAACGAAGTAAATGAAGAGCCAGTGCAGGAAGAAGTCATAGAATCTGATCCGGAATCTGAATTGGAATTTGACATGACTGGATGTGTAGAACCAGATTTTATAGATGACGCGAATCAAAAAATGGGAGATCCCTCCAAAGAACTGACCGAAGAGGTTGCAGACAAAGCTGACGAAAAAAGAATGGAAGCTATGTCACAGTTATCTGAAGGTAATTTTGTTGCTTTAGTCAGTATAACATTTATTACACATATCTCTTTATCTTTCTATATATGTTTACTCAATATTAGACATAAAACTTCCTTGATTTCTTCCATTTTCTGTTTCTAACTATATTTATCCACCTCTGGGTTATGAATTTTTGGTTGTCTGCATATCGTAATCATACTCTTCCTTGTACTGTCATGTTGTTCTAAAGTCTTTATTGTAAGATTAAATTATTTATCTTGTCATCTTCGTAAACAAATATAAAAAGTTGTGCAAACAAATATAAAAAGTCTATCTTTTTTTTAACAGCAGGACATATTCTACATGTATTTTTCTTTCCAGTTTTGTTTCATTGACAATTCGAAACTGTTCTTAAATTCCCAATACTCGGCTTATACACATTCTTACTTCACGGTTTATACGAGGATTACACATATTCATATCTTGTCAATTTTACATTATAGCAAAACAATTGATGTAATATATAACAATTTACCAAGCTGATGTCCAACATTCTGTAAAATATGGCCATTGGCCAACGCCTTGTTCTTCGACTGCAAGAATATGTGGCACATTTTTCATCCAATGAATCTACCCCTCCTTTTGTTGTATTATCTGCAATTATTTCAGGCTTAGATGTATCTGGGTCAGTTACTTCATAATGGTGCATGGAAGATACAAGCAGTACTGCTCTGTTTTTTTTAAACATGAGATAATAATGTTATATCTTCCATAAAACCATACAAACTGGAGCTTAATTCTCTATCTCGTCTAGCCAACAAATCTGTTCTTTTTTAGTGTTCCAACAAACGTTAATTTTTTTGTTTTTAAAATATTTACAGCTTCGTTAGATGAAAACCAGTTATCAGCTGTAACATTTCTTTTAGAACCGAAAATTGGTTTAGTAAGGCGAAGCAGAGCTTGCGTCGGTTTTGAAAACTGTTTCTCCTAATTTGGTAAAGTTCTACAATCACTGTCTTTACCACTGTATATATAGGCATTTAATAAATATCCTGATCTAGCATCACAGAGGGCCATAATCTATAAACCATATTTGCAAGTTTTTTTTGGCATATACATTTTAAATTTACAGTGGCCACGAAATGATACCAACATTTCGTCAATGCATCCATTGGATCCAATTGAATATCGTAACTGACAATTATGGATAAAGATGTCAAAAATATCAGAAATAGCTAGAGGGTCAGTTGCTTTTCTCTGAGTTCGTGTATCAGGGTTATCAAAGAGATATTTTGCTAATATTTTCTTTGTATTTTGGCTATATGTACATTAGTTCAACATACGACTGTTTCCAGTATTTCATCAAAGAACAGTAGGTTCCAGGAATTTAATGGATCATTATTATTATCGTTGCAATTTGGTAATACTGGACATCTGATCCAAAGATTGTGTTTTGCAGTGTGGCATTTCTTATTTACTTCAGGTTGAGAAGACCACTTGTAGTGATTTTTTCCATATTATTTTCTCTTCTCTAATGTTAAATCTTCTTCGCTTGACATGTGGTCAAAGTCTTGATTATTTTGTTCGTCTATTTCTACAAAATTTACAGCAACATCGTCTTCTGTATTATTTTCTGAGTCATCTTTACTTGGTATGTAATCTCCATTACTTTCGGAATCGGTGACGTCGCTAAGCTTTTCAGTCCGTTTTAAAAGAGTTTCTTTATATTAAGGATCATTAAATTAAATGGCTTTTGCCCCTTTAGAAGGCCTAGGTAAATTTTTGTAAGCCATTGAAACACCTAAAATCGATATTATTAGTCTTATGACTTCTAAGAAATGTTACACTTATATAGACCTGACGTCACTCAGACACCTCGACGTAGATAAAATTGTTTTACAGCTAAACCAAATAAACACTGTACCTCAAATTTCGACAACTATGTCACAACTGATGAATAAAAAGGTAGAGAGAGTTACAGAGGCCTAGTTGTGTGTAGTGGGGATACATGGAAATGCGCATTTGCTTTCCGCCTGTGAGACGTCACATCTGTGGTTACGGGTTAATAATCTTAACCTGTAAATGTTTATCAATTCAGATAATGTACATTACAGTTGTGGTTTAATCCCTCATAAAATAATATTTAACTTAAACAGACCACAAGAAAACAATTTCAGAACCTCTTTAACACTTGAATTTCAGTCTTAATCTAATTCATGAATTGGTTTCTTAGAATCCATTACTCTTGCACCTTTTAAGAGTAGAGTACAAATGTGGGCTTAAAACTCAAAGTTCAACCTTACCTTATATCAAATTATATTTTAGGTAATATTGAAAAAGCCTTAGAATTATTCACAGAGGCCATAGAACTCAATCCAACTAGTGCTTTATTGTTTGCAAAGAGGGGCCAAGCTTATCTAAAGCTTACCAAACCAAATGCTTGCATCAGAGACTGTACAAGAGCCTTAGAACTGAATTGTGATTCTGCCCCTGCATATAAATTTAGAGGAAGAGCTTATAGACTGTTAGGAGAGTGGGAATTGGCTGCTAAAGATTTAAGGCAAGCATGCAACATAGATTGTGATGAACAGACTGATGAATGGTTAAAAGAAGTCACACCAAATGCTAAAAGAATTGAAGAACATTTGCTGAAGAAGGAGAGAAAAAAGAAAGATAAAGAAGAGAGGGAAAGATTGGATAGGATTAGAAAAGCAAGAGAAGCACATGCTAAAGCTGCATCTGCAGCTAAGGAAGAACCTGAAGATGATGCTGATCCCATGGGAAATGCAGGTGATTTCTATAAATTGTTCCAAGATCCTGAAGTTATGGCTGCGTTGCAGGTAAAGTTTTATTATATTTAGTATCCTTTAAATTAAATCAGATTATCAGTATATTCTCAGTTCTTTTATCTAAATGTATTTTCTTAACGATTTTCTCTGTGTTTTGTTTTGCAAATTAATACCCTAGTCTGGCAAATAATAAGTGAAATGATTCATGAGAGTGATCAGTTGGGTTTTTCGTACCGTTTAGCTATCACAATGAATGCTACCAGAAAGCGTGTCAGTAGAGGAGAAAGGGTGCTTATAGTCAGAACACATTTAGTTTTCTCAGTATATATTGCTTTTGTTAAATATTGTTTAATTAAATAAAAATGGAAGAACCTAGTACTATAGGCACCAACAACTATGTGTTGGAACAAGCAGTTATTTTGTGAATATAATGCCAATTTACAGAAATTCTTTTAATTTATTTTTTATTTAATTGTAAATATGAAATTAATCACATTTTGTATAATGTATGGACTTATTTTTGTGGCTTAATTATAGATTTTATATTGATTACTATTGACTTAATTGTTGGATAATCGAAAACAGCTGACAACTAAATATTGGAACATGTTTTGCTTTTCCTCACATTTCTTAAATTAGCCTGGCGCAAAGAAGTCTTTGAAATTAAACATAGGAGTAGGTAGTGTGTTGTGAACAATAATTGTCAAGCGTCATTTGAGTATGAATAAAGATAACTATCACATTTATTACAAGCAAGATATAATGCCACATGTAAAACCAACTGATCAAAAAGTTCGAGAAATTATTCTTCATCAGTACCATAAATGGAAAACAATGCGTGAAGCTTCCAGTGAATTGACTGTAGCAGCAACTACTATGTTAATTATAATTAAGAAATATGGTGAAACTGCCAGGATTAAAGGTCACGGCAAAAGCTCAGTCCCCCAAAAACTGTTTCTCAAAGGGTGTAAGACACATTTGATTAGAATACGTAGGTCGAGAAGAAGAAAAACACACTACGAGAAGTAACTGCTAGAAGGAATAGAGGAACTGCCATGAATGTTTCGAGAGATATCAACAAAAGCGGTCTTAGTTTTTATAAGGTATGTTTGATAGGTTCTTCTTTGCGATTTAAATTTTTTATTTTTTAATTTATTTGCATAGGCTAAAGAAAAACCATTGTTGACAGAATCTCAAAAAAGGAATTGTTACATTTGGGCTAAATTAAAACTTTCGTAGACCAAAATAACTGGGACAAACTTATATATAGCAATGAAAGCAAGTTTGATGTCTTTGTGGAAGATTATCAAATGTGTCTGATTTGGGAAAAAACAGAAGCATTCCATAAGGATTGTCTCAAAAGGACTGTAAAGTTTCCTCAGGGTATTATGGTGTGGAGTCATATGTCGGCCAAAGGATTGGTATCTTTACATTTTATTGAGGCTATAGTAAACGCAGCCAAATATCAAGATAACTTTGAACATTCATTTCTACCAAGTGAGCCAAAGTTATATCCATCCAGAGATTTTATCTTTCAGCAGAACGGAGCCTCATGCCATATGGCTAAATCTACCAAAAAATGGATGGGAAAACATGACATTAAAGTTTTGTCACATCCTTATAGCAACCCGGATCTTAATCCAATAGAGACACTTTGGCACAAAATGAAACAACGAGTTCAGGCTGTTATTCAAGCTAAGGGCGACGTTACGCCTTACTAATTTTTATTTTAATTTGTTAAAAACCTCTTGTTCCAATATTTAGTTGTCACCATTTTTTGTCTATCAAACAATTAAGTAAATAGTAATTAACAAAATATATAACTAAACTGTAAAAATAATTCCGCATATCATAAAAAATGTTGCTTATTTCATATTTACAATTTAAAAAAATTAAAATAAAAGAATTTCAGTAAATTCAGTATTTTATTCGCAAAATAACTGCTCCTTCCAACATATAGTTGTTAGAGCTTGTAGCAGGGAGAGTATAAATGTGAAAAGTTCTCGCAAACAGTTAGGACTTGAAGAAATAGAAAAACCTATTATTTAGATGAAACTTTGGTCAATGCTGGACACACTGTTAAAAATGTGTGGACTGACACTGCTGTAACAAGTAGTCAACAATCTTTTGTTAGTCATATCACAAGGATTCCAAGTACCAACAGGTAAAGGACAGCGACTCATAGTGACCCATATTGGAAGTCACAGCTGCTTTCTAAAAGACAGTATATTAATTATTTTATCACAAAAAAAACTGGTGATTAACATTGAGGACATGAATGCAGATCGTTTCAAACAGTGGTTTTAATATGTTCTGCAACATATTGAAGATAACTGCGTCATCGTTATGGACAATGCATCATACCATAGTCGCTGGAGTGAACATATTCCCACTTCAAACAGCTGAAAGGCTAAAATTAAAAAATGGCTCCGGGAAAAATATTCTGTACTATGAGAATGCAGTTAGAGTAGAATTGATGTTGCCCTAATCATTTCGATTAGTCGATCTATAGGATGTAGAATCAATTGCAGGAAAGTATGTATTTGTAACAATATGATTCACGAACTACATGACTCGATGTATACCTTCTTTTAAATAAATACATTTTCGCATGTTTTTACATGTTTGTACATGTTTATGTTTTCACGTTTTCACATACAGACCAACCAAACATCTGCGGTTTCTACTATTTCTATTGATAGACTAAATCATTAAATATCCTTCTGAAATAAAAAGAATACACTAATTAGAATATTTTACATCTTTAGGTATATAGTTGACTTCCGCTCATCTGCTCAGTCGACACATTATTAATCTGGATAAGAACTTATTTTATAAACCAGATTTAATATATTATTTGTATTATTATGAGCAGAAATATAATATTCTACTGTTACAATGTAAGTGACCGCAAGGAAGCATATTTTCTTATGCGCCACCAATGATCGAATTAAATTTTTTAGAATTCATGATGAGCACGTTGTTTCGGCTATATTTTCACGTGATTTCTGATTTATAGTTTCATTTAATATTTGCCAGACTATAGATATTACCTATGATTTTTGTAGGATTTAGTAAAAGCTGGGAACTTGCTTTCTTACCAGAGAGTCAATATAGACATAACAGGAGAATTGAGTTAAACATCTTAATACTTTAATACTGTATGCATTTTATTTTTTATTATTTGTTCATCATAAGCAGCTGGTCTTGAATAAGATTTTTTTTAATCTTTAATATGTTGCCTGCGTGGTGTCCATTTCAAATTAGATAAAAGAAATAAGAATAAAACTTTACTCACTGATCGTAAGTCTTATTGTTTTTTCTTTTACCTAATGTTTTTTTTATTTATTCTTACATGTAGGTAGATTTGTTTGTGTGGTTATCTACCTGGTATCACTTTATACCTTGTTCATTGTCACACTTTTTTATTATTATATACATTATGGTAGTAAAAAAGGGTAGAGTTAAGAATTGATTGGGTGTTTTATTTAATATTTTCTTAAATTCGGTTTTACATAAAATCTATAAATTAGTCCTAGTGACTTCATATTTAATCCCTTCTCATCTAAATATTTTGAGGTACAGTTGCGGTCACGGAATAGTTTACACCTTACTTTTTATATTGTAATACTGTAAAATTGCAGTGTCGTACGGATTTGATAAATGTCAAAGTCAAAAAATTTCAAAACGTCAATGCTTTCGCGAGTGTTCAACAATAAAATAAAAGTATATTAAACTCTTCCAAAATGGTTAGAATACATTTGAATTATGCGCAAAAAGCAAGAGCAATTGCCAAACTCGAAGAAGGTTGGTCACTAAGGCAAGTTGCTGCTGATTTGAACGTGAGTCATATGTGCATATGGAAGATTAAACAAAGATGGGATAATTTTCACTCTATAGCACGGTTGGGCGGTTCAGGAGGGCAGAAGATTTCCACAGATCAACAGGATGAGATGTTAGTAGATTATTTGAGAGATTCTCCTTTTGCCACAGCTCAAAAGGCAAGAGAAGAGGCAGCGTTTCCAGGCAGTATTCGCACTGCACGTCGAAGAATTAAAGCAAGTGGACTGCTAAATTGTGTAGCTGCACGGAAACCTTTTTTGACTGAGGATCACAAGAGGAGACGAGTTGAATTTTGTAATGAATTTATAAACCGCGATGAGAATTTTTGGTCTAGGGTTGTATTTTCCGATGAAAAAGTATTTCAGTCGTATAATAATGGTCGAATAAGAGTTTATAGGCCGAGAAATCATAGGTATGATGAACAGTATACGCATCATTTAAGAAATAGTGGAGGATTCTCTGTCAACGTATGGGGATGGATAAGTGCCGAAGGCCCGGGCGTTTGTTATCATGTAGAGGAGAAGTTAACAGGATTATATTACAAACATATTATTGAGCACACAATGTTGCCATCGGTGATCCAGAGATTCCCCAACAACGACTTTATCTTCCAACATGACAATTGCCCGGTGCATACGAGTAGAATTGTTCGAGAATGGCTAGAAGAAACTGATGTTAATGTTCTTCCGTGGCCTTCCCGTAGTGCAGACTTTAACCCCGTCGAAAATGTGTGGGCAGAGTTAACAAAGAAACTAAATGAAAGAAACCTTAGACCACGGAATAGAATTGAATTATGTGAAGCAATTGAGCAGGCATGGGAAGAGCTTGTTAACTATAACATGAGGGGATTGGTGCTATCTATGAACAGAAGACTGCAAAATTGTATTGACAAGAATGGGGCTTCCACCAAATATTAATTATTATTTATCATTGTTTATCGTTATTTAATATAAAATAGATTTAAAATAAAATGCATATTAAAAAAAAAGACTTCTTTATTTTCGTTATTAAGATCATAATCCATTTTATTAAAAAAACTGTTTTCTATATTTTTCATTTTGTAAAATATTTTGATATTTTAATTTTAATCTACCTATTCTAGCTAGTACACCACTGGCAACGTCACTTTGACGTAAAAGGTGCGTTTAAACGAAGTAAAAATTTAAAAAATGGGCTCCTAGATACGTGAACCTGTAAACTATTCCGTG